GGGGGTACGCTTATTCGATGCCTTGGAGTATTGCATTAAAATGGATTTTAAAAAAAATTTGGGTGAATATATTCTTATAGAGCTAGTATAATAGTCTCTTCTGTCCGTTATTTTTAAATGACCTGATATGGCCTTATTAAATAAAAGCAGAGAGCACACAATTTACTAAAAAGCCTACAAATCTTTTATTCCTTGATAGATTTGCTTGTTAATTTTATTTTTTTTGATTATATGGTGCAAAAATGGACAAGCTTTGGCTTTCGACTAAGGAAAATATAAAGATGTCTCATACTGTTTTTTAAAAAAATTGGGTTTCCTGGATGGAACGTGACAGACGTCACATGTGTTTCTTTATATATATATATAGTATCATGGAAATTAGGCCATAGTATGCAAATGAGATTGCCTAGGACTAGGATAAAAATTTGAATGTCACAATAAATGAACGTGAACTACATTTACATTGATATTTTTGCAATTACAATTATATTTAGGCTTTAAAAAGGCTGACTTTAATTTATGGGAACTTGTTCCTTAACACTACTGTGTATTGATGAAATAAAGTGAAAAAAACCCCAACAACAACGAAACAAACAAGAATGGAAGAGAGTTAATACATGTGCTGGTTATTCTGAAAGAAATTTTAATGATGTGCATGTCAGGTCTTCATGTTGACACCAGTATCGTTATAATGTAATATTGGTAATCTATTACGTAAAAAGTTTTGCTTCTGTTCTGCTTTTAGAAGAATCGAAGAATGACTTATATTCAACCTGTATTTAGATATTTTGCAAACATCTTTTGTATTTCTTTCGCCAGGGCATTCGCTGTTCTTTCTAAATGAAATGTAAGTTGTTGAAAAATTCTGAAGATCTACATGAAGTTGATTCATTAAACTTTCTGGTGATAAAAATGTCAATTTTTGTCAACTTTTCATTACTACTTTGGTATTCTGACTAGTACATTTTTTTTCTCCTATTTATTTATTTTTATAGTAAGCCTATTGCATTGTGTTTGTATGAGTTACGTTGTGTGATACTGTTCCTGCATTCTACTTCCAGGTCAGATTACTATTTCTACCCAAAAAATTTTACTTTTTTCTTAAAAAGTAAGAAGCATAATAGGCGACCTAAGTGTATATAATTTGAAATCTGGGTCATTTCCAGTACGTTAGATACTTCTCATTTCTAGAACTTACTGATGAAAGCCTGCATTGATTTGGAGGATGTGCCTCTTATCATCACGAGAAAGCCGGTTGTTTTATGTGTACCCTACAGCGTTGAGGTCAAGAAACGGCTAAGGATCATGAAGTCGCCTCTATTGTCTAAGTCTAAGGTTTATGCGAGTGTGTTCTGGAAAGAAGGAGCTGAGAGAAAGAGGGAGGAAGGGAGGGAGAGAGAGAATGAGAGAGAGAGAGAGAGAGAGAGAGAGAGAGAGAGAGAGTTTACTTTACGCCAAAGATCCTTTACTTGTTTACTCGAAAGAGGTTCTTTAGTACAAGAGTTAGATTAGTGGCAGTGATGTCCCCCACGTACACGAAAGGAGGCTGCATGTGCCCACTCTGGGTCTCTAGCCTCAAGGGCAAGACATGCGCAGTTCAAGAGACGGGTGAGTACTTTTCGAGACTCGCATTGAGGCGTCTCCTCAGCGGTCTTTGGGGGAAATCTACAAGCTTGCAATGGAATATGGGGGCAGGGTGGTATTTAATATACTAATACAAAAGCTCGTGTTGAGCGGGGTGAGGGCCCAGATTGTTCATGCAAATAGTAAATGGGGGCATGCTGGCCATTCCAATGAGGGTAAGAAGGCCCCTATATAATAGAAATTTGACACGTGTGACGTCACTGCCTTGAGCTCTAGTACTAGTATTAGTAGTTTACATACATTTCGCGGAGAATACATTATATTAAAGTCTTGGAATGACACCTTGTATTCTGACAATTTTGTCCTTGAGTTCATCGATATCTCTCACTTTTTGCTCCTTTACCATGCCCCATAACCAGAAGTCACAAGGTGGCAAATAAAAAAATGTGCAGGCTAACCAGTGCCCCCCCCCCCCCCCCCCCCCCCCCACCATCGCAACCTATCCAACGATTTGGAAATGTTTGGCCGAGAAAAAAACGAGTGACGAATGGTATGGGCAAAATGAGTTGGTGCACCATTCTGTTGTTTATACCCTGCTCGTGTGATTTGTAATTTGTACTGGTAATACTGGTATTTCATCAATGCAGGATGTGTAAGTAAGTAGGCATTTGAAGTCACTGTTGGAGTATCGAAGAAATATGGTCCAATAGCGCCTGTAGCGTTCACGGCACACCACACATTATTTACCTTTGGGGAGACCCTTTCATACTCTTGAATGACAGGTGGATTTTCAGTACCCCAGAAAATGGTGTTATATCGGTTGACATGACCACTTGTATTATGAAAAGTATGGCCGCATCAGTGAATACTATTTCACTTACAATGTCCTGTTGAATATATTTGTCATTTCATCTAGAATCTGACAATATTCCACTCGAAATTGATTTTTGCTGAGCTGTCACAGCTTGGACAACTTGTATGTGGTGTTGTCGCTTGCCAAGGCCTTTGGATAGGGTTCGGCACATAGTGTGTACCCAACAGCTCCGTGATCTAGACATGGCAAATGACTGTGAAGTCGTCCACAGACACCTGTATGGAATCCATGTTTCTCTAGACTGTATATCGTATCGTCACTTTGGATGCACATGTGTACTCTGGAGTACTGCCTGCTGCGCAGCATCAATGTTCAGTGTACCCCTGTCTGTTTTGGGTCAGGTCGGCCCGCATTTCCTCAAAGTTGTCCTCTACCGATCCAGTCAATACAAACTTGTAATACCGGTAGATACAATGTTGTTAGTTACACGACCTGGTGGGTCACGATCAGCAAACTTTCGACACACTGCTGTTGGCGAGCCAAACACTTTCATCAAGCGTGCAACTATGCTCCTATGTGAGTCTATCAGTAATTGGAACGTCTATCTATAACAGAACAGTATAAGCATAATTTTGACGAACCCATTTCTCCCATACAAATGTAAAATTATATTTTGGTAAGTTTTACGGTCCTCGCAACCTCCATTTTATAGGTCATACGGGCGCGCGAGACAAACCAAACATTTTCAGTTGGTAGGAAATTTTGAATTTTGCCTACGCTTATCGATTTTAGACCACCAAATGATCTTTACGTGCGCAACTTGCGTTCGGGGATTTTTCGCCCTTGTCCGAGAAGGCTGGGTGTAAATCTTTCCTACCACAAGATCAGGAGTGTGGCTGAAAGACTGCAGTAAGAAGGAGCCGATGAGTAGAATGTGAATGGAGAAGATTTTAGACAAGAAAATGGTTCCGTCGCTATCCGGATTCGAAAACAGGACCTTTTGAATGAGAGGCCAACACCTTAACCTCTAGGCCAGAGAGAATCCCGAAACAATATGATTTTGGCTCCCCCTGTTATTACAAACAGTCTTTGTCGATCATGGTTCTGATTTCATTTCTCCGCTCGGATGCTCTAAAAAAATCCCACATTAGATCTATCCTGGTGTTTCTGCGTCATTCTTCTGTTCGGGTTTTTCAAATAAGTTTCTTTAGGTCTACCCCTGTATACTAATAGAGTGGTAGTAAAAAAATCAAAAGCAATATAAACGATTATCTAAGCTCCTAGCTCTAGGTTTTCTTCCTGAAGGCAAACGGGCTGTTTGTTATGAGAAATTATGTTGACATTTAATGTATTATAACAAGGGTACTGTATTGATTGTTGCCTTTGCTATGTCACCTTCGTAAAGCATTCATTATGTGCAAATTATGGTTGTGTGATCTATCAAAGGTATGATTTTTTTCGTTGCATGCTCGCAAAAGATATGCCAACGCGTTTCAAATACCCGAATGAATAATACTGTGAATTCGAGGAGTTTAGAATTTTTAATCTCCTTGTGTGAACTAAAAAGATAAAAAGGTGAATAAATTGAAATACGTTTGGTAGCAAAGGAGGAAGTGCCTCATTGTGCTAGGAAGGTAATAATACGTCTTACCTCCTTCCAGTTGAAAGTTCTGTATTCGAACACTGACTGAGCCTCCGTAGGCTACTGAATTTAATTATATTAGAGTGAGGCGAAGTGAGACTCCAAATTCACATCGTCTGTTGATAGTTACTTGTCATAGCATTCAAATTTTGCTGTGAATTTGCCAGCTCTCCTTTTTTTACAGTGAAGGTAATTTTGCGGTATTGGACCCATCTTACAAATCTCACATTGTTTTGTGATCTTCTAATGTTTTTTGATGTGATACGAATTTGACCGGCTGGATTGAATTTTGGTGGACCCATCGTGTTTACATGTATAATCTAGGCCTATTAATGCACACTAGCCATAGCAATAGTGGGGTTTCAGGGGGATTGACTCCCTGTTACTGTTAGTAAGGGGGGTTTTGTTAGATTGAACTTTAGAAGACTTGGTCGGTGGACCCAACACTGAAGAAGCTCTGCTGGAACTAGATCTAGAATCTAGATCTAGAGTCGATGTGCCAGACCGCGGCAGTGCCCCCAGCGCAGCAGTTGGTCTAGTTTCGGCAATTTCTCACCTACTGTTTTTGTAAATTTAAAACTGCAGTGATGTCCCTTGCGCTGTTCCGTTTCTTTCTTTCCTGGTCCATTGCGAACACGTGACAATTTCGTACCAGAGATCGAAATTTTGCCGTCGTACCAATTTTGACTCGCTTTTTTAGTTTTCAGGTGTGTTTGCACTTTTTATCACATATTAAAAGGGTGCTTTCTTAATGACGTCTATTGTTGTTTATTTGGCGGATAAATGGCTACTAATGATTTTGCAACATGATGTGTCGCGATTTGTGCATTTTTCACGTGTTGAGAGAAATTGCCGCGGTAAGGGCACCATGACAATACTTTGTACCGCAGCGCGGCATATTGCCGCGGTTTTGCCGCGCTGGGGTACAATGTAACAAGGTATTGTTATAGTGCCCTTACCGCGGTATTAGGGGTTTCGGGGTCAAGAGAGTGAGACAGAAAGAACTGCATTGTTTTAGTCAGTTTACTGATGTTGCTGTATTCATTTGAGTGTGTGTTTGTGTGTGTGGGGGGGTATGTGGATGAGTGTGTGTGTGTGTGTGAGAGAGAGAGAGTGTTTGTGTGTGTGTGTGAGGGGGGGGGGTGTACATGTGTGTGTGTGTGTGTGGGGGGGGGTGTACATGTATCATGTGTGTGTGTGTGTGTGTGTATGTGTGAGAGAGAGACAGAGAGGGAGAGAGAGAGAAATATATTACATTGATGTTTTATTGTAAACCCGTTACCTTGTTATCAGTTTTTTGGTGTTGCTGTAATCATTTGAATGCATGCCATGTGTTTGTAAATGTGTATGTGTGTGTCTGTGAGAGAGAGAAAGAGAGAGAGACTGACAGACAGACAGACTGATGCCTAACATTGATGTTTTATTGAAAACCAGTCATCATTTGTTATCAGTTTTTTATTGAGTTGCTGTATTCATTTGAATGCGTGCATGTGTTTGTAAATTTTGTGTGTGTGTGTGTGTGAGAGAGAGAGAGAGATCTAGATCTATTTTGAGTTTGAGTCACGCTGTGCAATGGCCCGCACTATGTTATCTGTTATTGTTTAGCTTTTATATGGGTTTTTAAAAATTATTAGATCTATTGTAATCCCCCACTAACAGGGAGGAAAGCCCCCCTGAAACCCCTCCACTGTACTTATGACTTATGGCTAGTACGCAGCGCTGCTCTTCGCAATGATCCAAGAGAAACCCTTTGTTGTCAGAAACACTGAAACCCCTTGAATGCCTTCTCTTTTTTGTCTTAGGAATCGCAAAACTGTTCCTGCACTGCCATAAACACTTATCCTAATGAAATGTACTCTGCGTAATTTGGGCTCACTACCTCCTTCGACAAAACGCACACAAACATTTAAAAAATCACGGCTTTTCTGGTTGTCTTTGTAGAATCTTGAGATGGCTGAGAAATAATTGAAGGTGCACGACTTGCACGAATCCATTACATGACATAACCCAACCCAGACGAAGAGCAGCACAAGAATGATGGTTAGACTAGAAGATTTTTAACTTAGAGAGGGAATAATGATGTAAGCAAAACGCAGCAGACACCATGAAATGCGCATGCACAACAATTTTAGAAGTCGTGTGCGCATGTGCATTCAAAAAGGTTAGATGGCTAATACGCACAGTCTTTGACACCTGGACTCACCTTGCAATCACATTGCTCTTTCCCAGTGTATTATTAGTACGCTGAGTTTGTAAAAATAAATATACACAATACAGAGGTATCAATATTTATCTCGTAAATGGGATTAAATATTTATGACGGTTTTGAATATCATTTCGCTAATAACACACCCTAAAACCTACAAAAACCATTAACAAAGTAGTCAACATAAGTTGGGTCCGATTTTGCAATAATATGCAATGCCAATATTTTATAGATTTAGATCTTGAATTGTTCAGATTTGGTCTGGGCCTGGATTAGAATTATCTAGATCTAGAGTCTTGGTTCCAAATCTAGGCTACTACTGAACATTTTGAATCCAGAAGTCTCTTCTGACTCCTCTAGACTCAACGTGACTTTACTAGATTTTGACTATATCTACTATAATTTTAGCCATATAATAATAAGTACTTCACACAGGAGGACTTCCGTAACGAGTGACCACCCCAACAAACACTGGGTGGTTGGCGGGTGCTCTGGTGTGGTTTGCTTCTTCTTTCCTATGAAACATCTATTGTCCAAGTTATCTCCCCTTCTTTTTATGTTTGTAACTCTCTTGTAACACCTCAAATCTTCTGGTGCTCATTTGACCTTCAGTTACGAGCGCCGTAAAACCTCTACTAAAACTAAAATAACAACTGCTACTGAGCATGCTACTGAGATCTGCAGAATGCTGTGAAGAAGAAGCAAAGGTGAGATCACCAAAGAAAGCCTTTATGGATGATGTGACCCTACTGACAAGAGATGGAGACACAATGCAAAGTGTGTTGAATCGGCTCGATAAGCTTATCACCTGGGCCAGGATGAAGTTTAAAGCTAAAAAGTCTAGAAGCCTGACTATTATTAACAAAGGAAAACAGAAGCAACTGAAGTTCACAATTGCAGGGGAGCAAATGCCCACAGTAAAAGAATAACCCGTGAAAAGTTTGGGTCGGTGGTACTCAGGAACTCTGTCTGATAGGAGTCAAGGCGTGGAAATCATGAAGCAGACTGAAAATGGGCTGAAAGCAATTGACCAGACAAAGCTTCCAGGAAAGCACAAGATATGGTGTCTACAGTTTGCCCTCTACCCTCGATTGGCGTGGCCACTGACAATGTATGAAGTTGCTTTGTCAAGAGTTGAGATGATCGAAAGAAAGTGTAACAGCTACATCAGGAAGTGGCTGGGGCTACCCCGTACCATTAACACGTCATCCCTGTACAGACATAGAGGTGCGCTTCAACTACCTCTCACGTCAATCGTGGAGATCTACAAAGCAGGCAAGATTAGAACCGTTTTGATGTTGAGAGAATCAAGGGATAAGGAGATCAGTGGAAAACCGCCAGATGTCAAAACAGCCAGAAAGTGGAAGGCAGAAGTTGCAGCTAACGAGATCATCTCTGCATTGGAGCATGGGGACATTGTCGGTCCAGCGCAACCTGACAGATTAGGGCTAGGTAATGGCGACTTTAGACCTTTCAGGAAAATGTCTCAGCGAGACAGAAGAAAAGCTGCAACAAGACATATGCAAAAGATGGAGGCAGAGAGGCGAGAAATTCATCTCATCCAGTGTAGCCAGCAAGGACAAATGACCAGATGGGAAGAGCATGTAGTGGAAAGAAAAGTCGGGTGGAGTGACATCTGGAAGTGGAATACATCAAGGCTGAGCTTTCTTCTCCGGTCTACGTATGATGTTCTGCCTTCACCGGTGAACCTTGTCAGATGGAAGGTACAGGAGGACAACAAGTGTAGATGCGGTAAGCTAGGAACCATGAAGCATATTTTGTCAAACTGCAACCTGGCTCTTAACAGATACACCTGGAGGCATAACGAGGTGTTGAAAGTGCTCACGAAAATGGCGACACAACAGGTGGAAGAAGGAAAATATGCCCCCAAGATACAGAAGCATGGACCCACCAAGATTGCGTTCGTTCCGCAAGGAAGCAAGGTTGCCAAAAGAAAGAAAGCGAACGAAGCCATGAAAGACCAGAGCGGAGGCACATGGGAAGTAGCTGCTGACTTAAAAGGCTTTGAGAGATTCTTCCCCATTCCAACTACGAAAAAGCCAGACATTGTGTTATGGGAGGAAAAAGACAAAGAGGTACACTTGGTAGAGCTCACGGTGCCCCACGAGGACAATATCTATGCCGCTCATGAGCGGAAAGAAAACCGTGACGAGGCACTCGTCGAACAATGTGAGGAGGCAGGATGGAAGGCAACCCATTTTCCGGTAGAGGTAGGATGCAGAGGTTTTGTAGCAACAAGCGCCCGTAAGTGGATGAGAGTGGCAGGACTTACTGCAAAGAAAAGCAACGAACTCACAAACTCCCTTCAGGAGACAGCAGAGAAAGCCAGTCATTGGATCTGGTTGAAGCGAGAGGACTCAGGCTGGAATGAATCCTAAAGTTGGCAGCAGAGGAAAACAGTCGAACTAACATGGAGACCTCACATCGGTGAGGGGGCTCGGTGCGTCAGAAAAGCTGTAGAGAGGAAGAGCCCGAAACAGCGACGCATTCTCTCCTGATGATCTCCATGCTAGAGTCCGGGATACGGAGCGTTCGACGGTGAGCAGTGCATACGGCTGTTTAGACTACGCACTGCAATAATTTTCAATTAGCCCTACCCCTACCGTAGTGGCCTACCCCTGCCCCTAGCCCTCTATTCTACTCTGTCTGATAGATCTAGTGGTCGCTCGTACGAAAGTCCTCCCCATCATACCATAAATCTATTAGTAGTAGTATTATGGTAGAATCAGACACATCATTTAATGATTATTATAATTATAAATATAAATTATATTATAATTGCTGTTCATTGGGTTCGACTGAATCAGCTTCCTTCAATTTCCAGTCCATGATGTTATTATTGAATATTGCCACTACCAGCCAAATGCTATTGCAGTCTTGTACTGTTGTAAAGGGATTGTTGGTTGAAGTTTAAGTAAAAATAAGAACAAGTAGACCCTAAAAGTGTAGGTGAGATGTAGATCTAGATCTAGCATGTACAAAGTATAGGAAGATTACGATATTTATTTTAATGACGGATCACAGCTACAGAGACATCACAGTCAAATAAAGTGATATATATAATTTATAAGCTGACACAGGATGCTCACACTCAATACATTTGTTGTTGTCGATCATCCATTTCTTTGTACTTCATGTGAAAGACCAATCAAATTTTTTCTATTTAGAAAAAATTGTTTCAAGAAATAAGACTCAATCCCACAAGCCAGACACAGTCTAGATTTTATAAATATCTCCTGACTAGGCATTATATATTTATAATGCACTGAAACCCAGGTTCTTTTAATAGCTGGGCTGGTTCTTGTGGAGTGGAACAACTCCTTTGTACGGAAAGAAAAGAATATGGACTCTCAGAGTTAACTCTAAAGGAAACTGCCTTGGTCGAGACAGGTTTCTCCTTTTCGTCAGTGGGACCAGTTAGAATGAAAGTGAAATTAAAAAGAAAGACAAGTTTGCTTTTGTGTCTTAAGATGTAATGTGTAGATTTTTGATGAATGATCTCCTTCTAATTGACATTGTCTCATTTATCTACCTTGCTTTTAAATTCTTTTTTGTTATTCATTTTTCTTTCCTCAGACGAGATAAATTCACCATGTCAGATTCCCCGAATGAATTCAAGTTGAGCAACATGCCCAATGATGGCATCAGTTCAGTCAAATTTGGACCCAACTCTAAACAGTTCCTTCTTGTGTCTTCTTGGGATGACAGTGTCCGTCTGTATGATGTCGTTGCAGACAGTATGCGCTTTAAGTATACACATTCCGCACCAGTGTTGGACTGCTGTTTCTATGTAAGTAATAAATTGTATGACTTTTGGTCTGTTAAAGAAAGTCTCTGTGTGTGTGTGTGTATTTTATACACATACAGTCGAATATTGGGGGCTTTCGTGGTCTAGAGGTTATTATGTTCGCCTCTCATTCAATAGGTCCCGCTTTCGAAACCTGACTGCAACGGAAAATCTTCTTCTCTAAAATTTTCTCCTTTTCCCCCCTTTACTGCTCTTTAATCATGTTCTGTCGACTGCTTTCGTCTCCATTTTCTGTCCCCCCCCCCCCCCCCCCCCACCCCTCTTCTTGGCTTCTGACTCTTTCTGCAGTCTTTCTACTGCTACTCATTATCTCCTTCTTACTGTTGTCTTTCAGCCACACCCCTGATCTTATGGTAGGTAAGTTCTAACACCTTGCCTTCTCGGATGTGAGCAAAAAATCTTGGGGGTTCCGTGTGCAAGTTGTGCACGTCAAAGATTCCTTGGTGGTCCAAAATCAATAAGAGTAGGCTTCGGCTGCCACCTGGGCAAAATTCAACATTCCTACCAAACTGACATTTTTTAATGTGTCCTGCATGCTCATATGATCTTATGCAGTTGCGAGTTCCATAAAAAAACACTTACCAAAAAAAAAGTCAAACCTCACAATACTGCCTACATTGGGATGAGCGTAAAGTCGGCGGTACAGCAAGGCTGGCAGTATAACGGGATACCGCCATCTGCCATCTTGACCAGGGACACTAGTGGTGGACTGGTAAAGAACAGAGTCAAACTATGTGCAGTGTGGGCTCATCTAGACCTGTTTTGCACAATAGCCATGCACAGGGGCAAAAAAAGTTGCAACCGATTACATACAGTATACAGCTCTAGCTAGCTCTAGCAAAACTTTATTAAAGAAATTCAAATTTAAGATAGCTAGGATCAGAAGCTAGGCTTTATTTGCCTAAGACCATGTAGACACACTGTTATTTTTACCCGATACTCGTCAGTCATTGGGCTGCCTTTAACCTTTCATGATGAATTGAGCGTGAATCCTCACAACATAAAAACCACACAAGCGCCTGCCAGCCTTTAGGTCATTGGGCTGATACCTGCGACGCTAGATATTTTGCTCTCAGGTTGAGTTGGCACAGCGACTTTGAAGTTTCTCCAGATGACTTTAAAACTTCATTCTAATTTTGAAAAAAAATATATTCCTTAATAGCGTTTCATAATCAGAGCAAATAAAGAGAAAATCGGCAAGCGCCTAGAAATAGGTCAAGCTTGCAGAGATTTTTGTTGGAAAGATTATCAAGCAGCCACTGTGTGGGTGCCGTGTGTAGTGTGTAGGCCTACCTCTGGCAGCCAATTCGCTAGCGGTATAGCGGGACAAATTTACATTAATTCAATAAGGACCTTGCAATTCAGACAGCAAATACTATGTTTATATAGGCGTTCCTTTTCGTACATTTGCAAAATGAACGGCAGTACAACGAAGTTTGACTGTATCCACATTTGTTTCTATTCCGAGAAACTGGAAGAGCGTTAACTAGTTAACAGTTTAACTGTCAGATAGTTACAGATAGTGTTGTAAAAAATGATTAGAAAATACAGTCTAGCATGCATTATAGTGAAATCAGCAGGATGCTGAAATCTTTTTATTGTGTTACGAATTTCGGCATGTGTATTTTTGGTAACATACATTATGTTATAAGAAAAAATTCAGGAACTGTATCCGGTTGCTGTGTGCTTGTTTTGTTGTTGTGTATGTTCACTTTATGCATGCCAGACTGCAGAGATAAAATCTATCCGTTTTACTAGTTTAGGTTATGGTAGAACAAAGTTTTTTCTCTGCTGTCCTCAATTGTAACTTCGATATTTTAACTTAGATTTGCACAAAATGCTTCATTGGAAATGTCTTTGACACAGACATTGACTGTTCTGTCAGCTATGCATTGTAAGTGAAATTTTAAAATATTCGTGCCCCACTCATTGTAACTAAAAGGAAGTCAATTTCAATTTATTATTCAGATAATAATTGTCTGGCTGTATCATTCTTTTGCCTTGTGGGGAAAATTTTATAGTTATAAGCAGGTGTTTTTTATGATAATCTTTTCCTAGCTCAGGTTAATTAAAAAAAGATTAATTGACTCTTTCACACAGGATGCAGTCCATTCATTCAGTGGAGGTATTGACAAGCAATTGAAGATGTACGATTTTAACTCAAGCTCAGGTTGGTAGAGCTCATCTTTAAAAAAATTTAGACTCAAATTTTTATGTATGAATGAATTATAGCACTGCATTTATGATATCAGCATGTTAGATTGTTATACATGATTTCCAGTTTTCTTGAAAGTTAATGTTTTTATGTGATTCTTTTCTTCACTCTAAAGATTTTTACTTTTTCAATCGCATACCCAGAATTTACTGTATTCTTTTAGTAAATTTAACATGTTATGCATTTTGTGTATTTGCACAGCCTTATTAGTTGACATCAAAAGCATGTCTTTCCTTAAAAAAAAATTGTTCAAAAGAAAAATGCTTTCGGAAAAAAATCAGGTCTGTTACAATATACAATAATTATGTGTATATATA